GATGGAGGAGAAAACCTTTACACAGCTGGGCTTCTGTCCTTTACTTCAAAAGTTTTTGAAATAAGTTTGGATGCCAATGAGGATGATCATCAGGAGACAAACAATAAGAGGTAACACATTTGACCAAATGATTAAAAAAAAAAAAAAGAAAAGTAAAGGGAAGTTTGGTTTAAGTATTGGATTTGTGTGAATTTTGGCCAGGAAAAGAGAATTTGAAGTGAAAGTGAAGTTTGCGGCTACTACTTGTATGGACCAATTGCGCGACTTGCTCGCTGGGAAACAAGTTGATACCCCTCAAAAAGCGCTTAGCATAATTGATATAGTCCTAAAAGAACTCACGGCTCAGAGGTTCAACTTATCTGTTTTTTTTTTTCTTCTTTTTAAAGCATTTTTTTAGTTTTAATTTCCTTAAAGGGTCTTTTAAGGTTAGTGTAATTCAATCTGGTTGTTTAGGTACATAAACAGTTGGAAGATTTCTGTATTCTCCTTGCATTAAGAAACCGCAGCAGGTTGGCGGTGGCTTGCAATCTTGGAGAGGATTCTACCGGAGTATAAGACCTACTCAGATGGGATTGTCACTCAATATTGGTGGGACTTTTCTAGACTTGAGATTTTTGTATCATTTTAGTGGCTTTAGTATCATCCATTTATAATTTTATTACCAAATTTGACTATGTGTACATGTTTTTCTTTTGTTCATTTTCAAATGCTCATGTGGCATCAACTGCTTTCACAGAACCACTCCCAGTGATTGATTTTGTTGACCGAATTTTGGATAAGGTAATACAATCGGTATCAAATAGTACTTTTTGTACATTCAGATCGTGTCGTGTTTAGTCACATAGCTGAGTTTCTGCAGGTTAAGAAGGCCCTTAGAGGTGTCAAAGTTGAAGTCACGCATCGAGAGAATTTTCATAGCAAATACCAGATTTCAGGGTTGACATCACAACCTACTAGAGAGCTTGTGTATGTTTTAAATCAGAAATTGGCTTTCTTTTTCTTTTTCCTATCAGATGATTGAGTTTCTTGTGTATTCTTCTTATCCTTTCTTTTACTTTACAGGTTCCCAGTTGATGAGAAAATGACCACGAAATCGGTTGTCGATTACTTCTAAGAGATGTATGAATACACCATTCAATATTCTCATCTACCTTGCCTGCAAGTTGGAAACCAAGGTGAACCATTTGCCAATGGAGGTAGGGACTTGTCAACAAAATTTCAATGTCTAGGGACTTGTCAACAAAATTTCAATGTGTTTCTGTTTTTAGCAATCAAATCAAGCTTCTTTTCTTGTGAATTTTTCTTGTGATTCTTGTTTCCAGGCTTGCAAGAGAGTTGAAGGATAGAGATACACAAAAGAACTTTTTTTCTTTTTTTTTTGCTAAAAGATACACAAAAGAACTTAATGAAAAGCAGCTTACTTCTCTGCTCAAAGTTTCATGCCAAAGACCCCATGAACAAGAATCTGATATTTTACTGGTTCATGTATCCTTCAAATAAGCAGCTCCATAAACTGTTATTCCACTGCTTGATAGTATTATAAGTAAACAATTTTAATATTTGAGCACCAATTCGAAAGTTAATTATCTAGTGTTTTGCAGACAATTCACCAAAATTCCTATGGGGAAGATCCCTTTGCAAAAGAGTTTGGTATTCAAATAGACACCGACGGAGCTTGTGCCTGTCGAGGCAAGGGTCCTTCCGGATCCATGGGTAATTATTATCTTCAGGATCCATTTTTCTATTTCATTCCATATTTCAACCTTATATATTGTGACAAACCGTTTATAATAGCTGCAGTATCATGACAATGGAAAAGAGAGAATTTTTGCCAAGACTTGGCCAAGTGGAATATGATGAACAAGGTTTGTCAAGGATTTCAAAATAGAAGTTATTGAATTTCAAAACCAGGGTTTCATGTTAATGTGTCTAAATAAAATAAAATAAATTATTACTTTTCCCATAAAATTCAGACACTGTAAGATATTGGGCTTGTATCAACTTCACAAGAAGCATCCAAGAGAGCACCGCTCAGGATTTCTGTCGACAATTGGTTCAAATGTGCCAAATCTCCAGGATGGTAAAAGCTGTCTTGTGTCATAATATTTGTAATTGTATATAAAGCCATCTTTACAAGTTACCTATGTTCGGATCTAATAACATTGACATTTGTTCTCAGGAATTTAGCCGTGATCCCATGATACCGATATATTCAGCCAGGCCTGATCAGGTAAAGAAGGCCCTAAAATATGTATGTTATGCTGCTGCAAATCAACTTGAAGGGAAAGATTTTGAGTTGCTTAATGGCTCTTTATATGGTATGCAAATTTCTATAAAAGTTTTGTGCAATCTGAATATGATTACGACAAGTACAAGTGGTTTCTCTCTTGTTTCAAATGCTTTATCACAATGACATTTAGAACTTGAGCTCAAACTATAATGTAGTTGAAAGAAATACTTGTAAAGAATTTCACTATTTAGGGTCTCTTTGGCAGAGCTTATTGGAAGCTTTTTTTTGGCCTTATTTGGCAGAAATACTTGTAAAACATCTCTTTGCTCGTATTTGCATAAATCATTTAGTAACAAGTTAATGTTAACTAATCTTTAAGATACCACTGGAGGTGGTCACATAGCGACAAGGGATGATCGCTCTAGGGCTCTCTCTCGCATTCGAGGTTCGATTCTTGATGTTTGCACTTAGTCCACTAAAAAAGTGAGGTTGTGTGTTTGACGCACATGAACCTCTCGGAATTATTGACAGATTGGTCCCTTTTTGTCCCACTTGTAGTCCCTTGAGTGAGGCTGTGAGAACATCACTGATCCCTTTTCTATTATTCAGCGATAACTAGTCTTAGAGTGTTTATATGATTTTTTTTTCATTGTCAGAGCTGAAATTCAGTGTAAGCAAACTATTATGTATTTCTGCAGTACTTTCATTTAAGAAGGCCACTGGACAAAAAAAAAAAAGGGATAATCTTTTACAGGTGCTCCAGGGTAAAAGTCAAAATTCCATACTCAAAATAAGGCCGTACAGATCACTAATGTTGAAGGTTTTCTGATTGTGTATAGGGATGGTGTGAGTGAGGGACATTCGCAAGGTCTGTTTATTGACTTAAAATTATATTTGTTTCAAAAATGCCCTTTGTCTAGGCATGTGCATCACTAGAACCTACTTACCAGCCTCCGGTCAAATTCATTGTGGTCCAAAAAAGGCACCACACCAAACACTTTGCAAGCAATCACAGTGACAGAAGTAGCAGTGACAAGAGTGGGAATATCTTACCCGATAATAATTCTGTTAAAGTTAACATTTTGACCCCTTTCATTTTACTAATTTGAGTTTTCAATTTCAATTTTGTTACAGTTAAAAACTCTCATAAAAAATCACATCTAATTTTTTTATTCAGTAAAAAACTCTCACATAAAATCACTTCTTAACTCAATAGTCTTAAACTTATTTATATTAAATTTCAAATTTAAAAATCTCTAGCTTTTAGAAGATTTTTTGGTATTATGTAACTTGCGGGATTCTGTAGTTGTAATTTGTATTTATATGGGATCTATTAATGGTCCTATTTATTGGTGAATTTAATCTTTTCTCCTAGTCCATAAATGTCCGCACATTTTCAAAACACTTTTAAGATCACGTTCATTTCACTAATTCGAGTTTAGAATTCAATTTTTGTTACAATAAAAAGCTCTCAGAAACAGTTACATTTAATTTTTTTTACTACAGTAAAAAAACTAGTAAAAAAACTCTCACATAAAATCACATCTCAAATCGAATTAAAAAGTCAAATCAAGGAACTTTTTTTTTTATTCTCTTCTTTCTTTCATTTTCTTCTTTAGTTTTTAATAGCGAGGATATAAATATGTCCAAGTTATTGAAGATACATTTTTTCCCGGGAGAAATTAAACAAATAAGTTTAGTAACCACAAATTATTGGTTCTGATGATTATTATCGCTCTGATGATTATTATCGCATTCCAGCTTGGTGTGATAATGCAATTTCCGTCTAGTTTTAAAAGTTCTAATTACTTTGAATTTCCCAAATGCAGGTACAGTGGTGGATTCTAAGATGTGTCATCCTACTGAGTTTGCCTTCTACATGTGCAGTCATGCAGGTCAACGATACTCCATTCTAAAGTATTTCAAAAAGAAGAAAAAGAAAAAAAAAAGTGCTACGAAATAGAAAAGAAGTTTTCTTGTGAAGAGTTGCATATTGAGCACATTCTTACAGTGAAAATTGGCATTGGCAGCCGGCAGGGGACAAGCCGACCTGCTCATTACCGCGTTCTGTGGGACGAGAACAATTTCAGCGCCGATGAGATCCAATCTCGTACTAACAACTTGTGGTACATGTAAAAATTATAGTTCTTATGTCACTGAGATCAGTTGTATCTTCTTTACTATCTATGCATGTGATCAACAAGACCAATATTTACCGAGAACCATACAAAAACAGAGAAGCAAACACAGAAATTTACTTGGTTCAGGCTCTGAGAACCCCACATCTAAGGTGCAGGAGAAACCCTCCTAACAAATCCACTATCAGTCGAATAACAATTACACACTCGAAGATCTCTCACAAAACCACTCACACAGAGAATTACAAAACTTTTGACCCAGCCTTCCCCAAATCCTTTCAGTTTCTCTCTCTTTCTACTTTCTCTCACCAGAATTCAATCCCAAAAGTAAAGACTACGTAAGTGCAGTTTTTTTTCAAATGAATAATAATCTCTCAATTACACGGCTTATTTATATTCTAAATAAACTAAGCTAAACTAAGGATTAATCAGAGTTAGACTTCTAACCACTCATAATTAGCCAGTTGTCCAGTTAGTTATAATAGAATAGGTTGCAGTTCTAATCTATTACTAACCAACTTGCATAAATAAAAATAAGTCATAACAAGATAGAGTTAATTCCTTAACAAACTCCACCTTAATTCTGATTTGATAATGGAATTGTTTAAGAGGCCTGCGAATCACTAAAACAATCAAGTTGGCAACATGTTGAGCAAGCTTAAACCTTGCTCAAACTTACTCACATGAATGTCCTTAGTTAGCATATCTACTGGGTTAACCAAAGTTGATATCTTCTCAACTTTGATTGTCTCTTGTGCAATTATATCTCTCACAAAGTGCAATCTAACATTTATGTGTTTCGTTCTCTCATGAAATACAAGATTTTTTGACAGGTGTATTGCACTCTGTAAGTCACAATAAACCTCAGCAGTATGCTCCTTGATTCCTAATTCTTTAGTGATTCCTTGAAGCCATATAGCTTCAGTCAATGCCACGTACTCTGCTTATGTCGTTAATAAGGCCACAATGTGTTGAAGATTCCACTTTTAACTTATCACATTTCTTCCAAAAGTGAACACATACCCTGAAACTGACCTTCTCTTGTCCATATTTGCAGCATAATCTGAGTCACAGTAACCCATTATCACAGCTCCACCTTCTTTCCTTGATTTGTACACCAAACCAACATCAGAGGAGCCTTTCAAGTATCTAAGGAGGCACTTAACAACATTCTAATGCTCCTTTGAAGGATTACTCATAAATCTGCTCACAAGGCAAACCTCATATGCAATAACTGGTCGAGTGCCAATCATAACTGTTAGGTCCGTTTTTGTCGCTGGTGTCACAGACAGTGTTATAACACTTTATTGTAACACTGTTTTAAAAGAAAATATGAAATTAAACTAGCAAAACAGCAATGCAGGAAAATAATACATAAACATAAAGGACACAGAAAAATGATATCGCAGTTCGGTGCGCACACCTACTCTGTGGGGCCACGCCCAGACAGTGAACAATCCACTAAGATCAAAGGCTTTACAAACACCAATCGGACTTATACACCCAAAGACTCCCTCCTTGATGTTGTCACCACCGTGTCAAATCTTCTTAATGATATTGTCCAGCGAGCACCACTCGTCTTCAAAACTGCATGATGAAATCCCTTCGGCTGGCAGTGCGCTTTCTCCCGAAAGCTTCTAATCCTTCTCCCGAAAGACGATCTTCAATCAACACTCAAAGGCTCATTAATCACAAACTTTCTCTTCTGCAAATATTCTCTATAAGAGCACCCCTCATATAGGCAGCCTTGAATTGCTTTAAAATCACAAAAACATAAAAGCCCAATATTCTCACTTCCAAGGCTACGAAACTCACGTACACCCATATGCTATATATATAACAATAATTCATGTGTAATCTAGGTCAAGCGCCAATTCAATCCTTTTTCAAATCAATCTGATAGCCAATTTTAAATCCTTCTTAATAGGCTAGATTTAGTTTGCACACACACATATTACCTATAAAGCACATACAGTATATACTACTTTGGCACCAAGATCAATACCATTTACACTCCAAATTAAGTATATCCAAGATATCTATTCAAATCTCTTCAAATAAATTATGCAGCAAATCATTTTTCCATATGAGCACATTTTCTCGAACAAATCTGCAAATCTCCTAATTTGAATATGTCAATCAAATCTTCCAAATCTTCTCTGAAATGTCCTTCCAAATATTGATTTCCATCAACAAAATCATTCCAAATTTGGAGCAATTAGCAACTAAAATCACCTCAAAATCTGAATCTACATCAATCATGAACTTGACCATGTTTTTAAATTTTGTACAACCCAATTCCAAAACATGCCAACTAATAAAATCCTAACAATAACATACATTAAGCTCCCTACAACATTCGAGTAAGGGGACATACTTCATGTAGGCAGCTTGATCTTCTGGCAGTTCACCTTTCACTCACTTGAGTTCGATATGAATTGGAGTTGGAATTTGTTGACGAATCTGTCAAGATTCGTTAACTCATATTCTTAGGGAAATAATTTACTGATTTACCGAGTTAATGCATGCTGTGATTGATAGGATAATTGGCTGTAATTACAGAAATCAATTTTGATTCTTTTGTAATTAAAAGTTTCGTAGTTTAGGTTGTATACTAAAATAGCTCAATACTCCATGTACTCTATACATAGTTGTAAGTTTTTTTTTAAAATAAAATTAATCGAAACATTTGTGTTCATGGTATCAGAGCAACACACGACTTTCCGCTGAGAGAAAATAAAATCACTGCCATTTTAGCCTTTAATCACCCCAAAAAATGTCAAAAATCTCATAAACCGGCAACAATACCACAAATGTCAACCCAAACCCTGCCAACGAATCTGATTCAACTCAAATTTCACAGCCACAAACAGGTGAATACCAAAACCTGCAACCCTCATTTAAACTCAATGGCCAAAATTACCTAGTGTGGTTCCAAATAGTTAGAACCTTCCTTAAAAGAAAAGGCAAGTTGAGTCATTTGACAGGTCCCATATCGACGGATGATGATCCAAAGTTTGAGGCTTGAGATTTAAAAGACTCGTCAATCATGACATGGCTTTGGAATTCGATGCAGCCCGAGATTAGTGGCAACCTTATGCTCCTGCCCACGTCAAAAGACATCTGGGATACTGTAAAGCAGCCTTATTCAAAGATTCATGATGCAACCTTGGTCTATGAAATTAAGACAAAAATTCGTGCAACCAAGCAAGGTACTCTCTCGGTCACTGCTTATTCTAACAAAATGAAAAATTTGTGGATTGAACTCGATTACTACCAAAACTTTAAGATGAAATGCAGCAAATATGTTGTAATGACGTTGAAATATTTACCAAGAATCATACAAGAACAGAGAAGCAACCACAGGGATTTACTTGGTTCAGGCTCTAAGAACCCTACATCCAAGGTGCAGGAGAAACCCTCCTAGCAAATCCACTATCAGATGAAGAACAATGACACACTCGAAGATCTCTTACAAAACCACTTACACAGAGAATTACAAAGCTTTTGACCCAGCTTTTCCCAAATCGTCTCAGTTTCCCTCTCTACTTTCTCTCGCCAGAATTCAATCCCAAAAGTAAAGAGTACATAAGTGATTTAGCCCCGTTCATTTCGCTGATTCGAGTTTAGAATTCGAGTTTTGCTACAGTAAAAAGCTCTCACAAACAATCAAATCTAACTTTTTTGCTACAGTAAAAAGCTCTCACATAAAATCACATCTCAACTCGAATTAAAAACTCGAATCAGCGAACTAAACGGGCCCTTAGTCTTTTCTTGAATGAATAATAATCTCTCTGTTACACAGCTTATTTATATTTAAAATAAACTAAGCTAAACTAAGCACTAATCAGAGTTAGACTTCTAACCACTCATGGTTAGCCAGCTGTCAAGTTAGTTACAACATGATAGGCTACAGTCCTGATATATTACTAATCAACTTGCATAATTAAAAATAAGTCATAAAAAGATAGATTTAATTCCTTAACAATGCATTTATTTATTTTTAATGATTGGATTGGATTGGATTTTTTAATATTAATCATATGCAATGATGGAGATGGAGTACTTGGGATCAGCAGAATTCTAAAACTACGGAACCAACTGGTTTCACACCGGGGGAACAACATCCGGAGCAACAACCCCAACCGTTTGGAAGATATCTTGAGAAAAGGTTTTAGCACAGGGGATCAAAAATGTGATCAATATCACGAAGAAGAAAGAGATACCGTCTATACCCATATAAAAATGGATGTTTTCATAAGCAAGCCATTGAAGGCTTTCCACAAATTGACATTTGGCTGTAGAAGGATTGAATTGTATCCAAGGAATAAGGGGATACAAAAAAGTAATAAGAGAAGCACACAGACCAATCAATCGTATCGATCGTATTCTTGAATTTGGAATGAAAAGAGGAGTAATGCTTCCTAGTACGGGACACAGACTAAGACCACTTAGATCAAAATAGCATCTTGGCCTCCGCTAGTAGGGCTAAACAACTGGACCATTGAGTAACCACTCTGTAAGACTACTAAACGACTAGTCCGTGGGGCTAGACCATTGTTCCAAGAGGATGCATCATCACTTTCGGATCAAGATCCAGAAGAGGCTTTTGCGCCCACCTCTTCTTCAGAGATATGGAACAGAGTATGAGTGAGATGTTTCGCTATAACAAAATGTATCAAAATAATTTTATCTCTTTTTTTTTTTTTTTTAGATTAAGATGATTAAAATATGGGAAAAATTCAAAATTCCTCTCCTAATTTATTTACACCTCTTTTAACTCCTATCGAATAATTAGGATTCTATTAACTAATCGCCCTTTTTCGTTCTTCCACTTTTTCCTCTTACTAAACAAGCTCTAGACATACTATTGACTGCCAAGCAAATAATACAGACATATATATGCAGCATGTTATCCTGAAATTGGTTGGTGGTTAAGTTTTATATTTCGTTGTAGAAGTAACTGAAAGGCCTATAGATTGAACCTGAACTAATGAAGAAATTGCAGAAGCAACTCACCAAGAAGCTAAAAGAGCAGAGCACATGAAAACATGTCCAACATGGAGATTAATTAAATATATTTCTGACGTGAAAGCACCAAATAAGTAAGGATATGAACAATTAAAAATGTAAAAATCAAGTGCTAATTTCGCACCTAGCTACAACATTCATAACGTGTAGAATTTCACATCACCCTACCTCAAATTTCAACAAAGAAAAAAAAGTTATTACACTTGTAGTCTCTGAATCATAAGTATTTTTCACTTTAGAACCTAAGAAAATTTAAATTATTATTTTTTGGGTTAATCCCAAAAATGTTCTGACATTTTTCTATCAATCTTATTTTAGTCCGGAACGCTTTTGAAACATATTAAACTTATCTTTGACTTGTTAGTTTGTTTTAATTTTAACCGTTTTCACCAGTTAAGTATGAAAAACAAAACAACATAAGAGTGATATTCACTTAGCAAAGTTTTATTTTACCTTTTGCATCAAAATCATGTGTGTGTTCCGTGTTCAATCAACAAAATGCTATTTTTCATCAACATCGTGTACATATTAAATCTTATTTTTAATATTTAACTGATGAAAATGACAAATTGAAAAAAATTGATTGATCAAGGATAAGTTTGCAAAGTCTAAAAGTTAGGAATTAAAGTAAGATTGAGAATAAAGTTTAGGATTATTTGTAACATTAACCCTTATTATTTAAAGACAAAATTCTTCAAAAATTTCTACCAGCTCTAATCCTCACTACTTAAATCATCGAGAAATTTGGACCAAAAGGAGCACGAAAAAACCACCTCCACACAAACATTATAAATTCAATTATGGAGGTCATACGTCTTTTCAGTTTGATTTTTTTTTTTTTTTTTCATAAGGGTTTCAGTTTGATTTTGGTTGTATAATTATTACAAGGAACGATATACTTGTTAGTTAAACATCAGTAATTAACCGGTTACAAACCGGTCAACTTTTCCTTTTATCCTCTTATCCCTTAAAAACCTCTCCACTCACACTGACCATTTGATTAAATCACGACGATTAAAATAATCAGTGAACGGTTTTGAGATTATTCTAGTGAAAATGACTGAATTTAGATTTGTATTTCTTATTTTTTATTAATAGTCTTTTAAC